GGAGTTCCTGTTGTAGCTCAAGTCAGCCTTACATCACACTCTAAGGCAGTGATGGCGAACCTATGACACGCCTGTCAGAGGTGACACGCGAACTCATTTTTGGGGTTGATTTTTCTTTGTTAAATGGCATTTAAATGTATAAAATAAATATCAAAAATATAAGTCTTTGTTTTACTATGGTTGCAAATATCAAAAAATTTCTATATGTGACATGGCACCAGAGTTAAGTTAGGGTTTTTCAAAATGCCGACATGCTGAGCTCAAAAGGTTCGCCATCACTGCTCTAAAGCCTGGGGCAAAAAGGCCCTTGTGGCTTCCCTGGTGAATTTTATTAAATACTCAAAGAAGTAATAATACCAAGTCTTCATAAGCTCTGAAAATAGAGGAGGAGGAAATACTTCCCAAATCATTCAGTGAGGCTGGTATTATCCTAATACCAAAGCCAGGATATCACAAGAAAACTACAGACCAACATTTCCTACAAACGTAGATGCAAAATCCTTAACTAAATGCTAGCAAACCGAATCATGGAACATATAGAAGGGAGTATACATACACACCACGACTAAGTGAAATTTACTGCAGGAGCACGAAGTTGATTTAACACTTAAAAATCAATGAATATAATACACTATTCTAATAGAATAAAGGGAAAACCACATGACCATCTCAATGGATGCAGAAAAAGACATTTGAAAAAATTTAATACCCATTTATGATAAAAACTCTCAATAAACAAGGAATAAAAGGGAATTCCCTCAACCTGATAAAGGGCATCTACAAAGATCCCACAGTTAGCATCATACTTAATGAAAGACTGAATGTTTCCCCGCTAGGATTGGGCATAAGCATGTCTGCTTTTGCCATTTCTACTAAACACTGTACTGAAAGTTTTAGGTAAGGCAATAAGCAATAAATGAACAAATGTGAATGAATTGGAAATGAAGTAAAATTGTCTTTTATTTGCAGATGATATATATATATATATATATATCTATATATATATATATATATATATATAATCACAAGGAACCACAAAAATACTATGTTTAATAACAAGATTAATATAAAAAATCAATTCCATATACTATCAATGAATGATGCAAACATAAAATTAATAAAACACAATTTTGTTTAAAATAGTAGCCACAAAATAAAAAGATAGGAATAAATTTAACAAAAGACGTGCAGAACTTGTATACTAAAAGCTAAAAAAACATTGCTAAATGAAAGAAGATTGAAATAAATGGAAAGACATTCCATCCTATATACTAAAAGCCTAATATGCAAATCAACTGAATAGCAGAATGACCAGCAGAAAGACCGGTCGCTATGATGCACACTGACCACCGGGGGTAGATGCTCAATGTAGGAGCTGCTCCCAGCTGGCAGGTCCCAGGCCAGCCAAGGCGGGTGCCAGTGGGGGCCCCCCAATCGCCCTGCCAGTCACCCCACAGATTGGCCCTAATTGCTGGTCAGGCATAGGGACCCTACCCATGCACAAATTTCGTGCACTGGCCTTCCAGTATTCATATATTTGAAGACTCTATATTGTCAAGATGGCAATTCTCTTCTAATTGATGTATGAAATCAACATGTCCTTGTCAAAACCCCAGCGATCTATTTTGTAGAAACTGATAGGCTAATCCTAAAATTTATATGGAAATACAAAGGATTTAGAATAGCCAAAATAATTTGAAAAAGGACAAAATTGGAAGACTTACAACAGCCAATTTTAAAAGTTACTATAAAGCTACATTAATCAAGACATTGTGGTATTGACACAAGACTAGGCATACAGATTAACTAAACAGGATTGAGAATCCAGAAATAAATCCTTACATTTACTTTCAATTGATTTTTGACAAAAGTGCAAGATAATTTAATGGAGGAAAGGATAATTTTTTCAACAAATGGTGCTGGGTAAATTGTACATTCACATGTGAAAACACAAATACTTAGACCCTTTCCCACACCATACACAAATAGTTATGCATAAGGGATCATAGACTTAACTGTAAGAGCTAAATCTATAAACTTCTAGAAGAAAACATAGGATAAAATACTTGTGACTTGGGTTGAAAAAAAAAGTCTTAGCTACAACACCAAAAGCCTGATCTATAAATGAAAAAAAAAATTGATAAATTGCATTTCATCAAAATTAAAAATTTTTATGTGCTGGGGGTGGGAATGGCTGGGGAGAGGTCAATGGAGGGAAAAGGAGACACATGTAATACTTTAAACAATAATGAATTTTAAAAAACCTTTTGCTCCACAAAGGCCGCCATTAAGAAAATAAAAAGATGCCGTAGTCAGTTTGCTCAGTGGATAGAACATTGACCTGTGGACTGAAGGGTCCCGGGTTTGATTCCAGTCAAGGGCACGTACCTTGGCTGTAGGCTCCTCCCCAGCCTGGGCCCTGGTCAGGGCATGTGCAGGAGGCAACCAACAGATGTGTTTTTCTCACATCATTATTTCTCTCTATCTTTCCCTGTCTCTTCCACTCTCTCTAAAATCAATGGAAAAATATCTTGAGGGAGGATTTAAAAAAAAAAAGTAAAATAAAAAGATAATTCACACACTGGGAGAAAATATTTGCAAATCTATATCTAATAAAGGACTTATATTCAGAATATACAAAAAAAATTAGAGCAATTCAAGAAGACAAAACTCAATTTAAAAACGTTTTTTTCAACAAAAGACTTGAATAAACATTTCACCAAAGAAGACGCGAGCTCCTCCTCCGCCATCGCGGTGTGCTCAGTTGATTCTCCTTCGCCGTGTCTTCTCACAAGACTCTCAGGATCGAGAGGTTCCTGGCCAAGAAACAAGCAGAATCAGCCCATTTCCCAATGGGTTCGGATGAAAACTGGTAATAAAATCAGGTACAACTCCAAGAGGAGACATTGGAGAAAAACCAAACTGGGCTATAAGGAATCGCACATGAGAGGTGGCTCCCATATTTATGTGGCATCCAGGTTATCTGCACCTTTAAATGACTGAGAAGACCACTACTGTCTGGATAGCTGGACATTTTAATTGGGAAATTATTGGAACAATGATATTTCCCTGTTGATTTTTTTCTTCAGTAGTAGGTTGGTGCAGTAATAAATGAGACTTTAAAAAAAGACTTGAATAGACATTTCACCAAAGAAGATATATAGGTAACTAATAAACCCATGAAAAATTACTCAACAGCATTAGCCATTGAGGAAATCAAAGGTGAAACCATTACATATCCGTAGAATGGCTTTAACAAAAAAGACAGACAAAATACTATAGTGTTGGTGAGAATGTGGAGAAACTGAAACCCTCATGCATTGCCGTTAGGAATATAAAATGGTACAGCCACTCTGGAAAACAGTTCGCCAATTACTTTAAAATTTAAAGTTAACATATGACCCAGCAATTTCATCCCTTGGAGTTGACCCATAACCAATAAAAACTATGTCTATAGAGAAACTTGTACATAAGTGTTCATAGTAGCATTATTCATACCAGCCTCAAACTGGAAACAATCCAAACGTCCACCAACGGTGAATGGATTAAACAAAATGTGGCAAATCTATACAATGGGATACCATTCAGCAATTGAAAAGAATGAATTAGTTCTGGCTGGTGTGGCTCAGTTGTTTGGAGTGTCGTCTTATACAACAAAAAGTGGCGGGTTTGATTCCCGGCCAAGATAGCATGCAACAAATTAATGTCTCTCACATCGATGCGTGCTCTCTCTCTCTCTCTCCCTCCCCCTCCCTTCTTCCCTTCCTCTCTCAAAGATCAATTTTTTAAAAAAAGAATGAATTACTGATCATCTATGACTCTGATATGGATGAACCTGAAAAAATTATGCTGAGTGAAAGAAGGCAGACACAAAGGACTGCTGTAGGATTTTGTTTATATGAAATGTCTAACAAATATGAATTTATAGAGACTGAAAACAGATCAATGGCTGCCTGGGGCAGGAAATAGGAACAGAGAGAGTGACTTTAAATGGGCACAAGGGAATTTTTTATGGTGATGGAAATGTTCTAAAACTGGGCTGTGGTGATGGGTGCACAATCCTATACATTTATTGGGAGTGTTGAACTGTACACTTACAATGGGCGAATCTTACAGGTGGTTGTATGCTATACAATTAAAGGCAGGATTGCCTTCACAGGGTGCTTACTCACATGCCAGCTCACCTCAGCTCTACCCCTCAGCTCTGGCCTTGGCTGGAGGCAGCAATGGTGCCCACTGACCTTAGAGTCTCCTGAGACGCTGCAGCTGCTCTTGGGCACCAGGCAGTGAGTGATAAGAATCCTAGGGTCTTTGGTGGTGATGGACAGGCCCTTCTGCAGAATCTGAACGAGTCGGATCCAGAAGTGGAAGACAGTCTCAGGATGGTCAGAGTGGAGTCTTAGATAGTAGATCTTCTCTGTGACCGTCCTCAACCGCAGGATGCGTTGGAGCTGGTCACAGACTTGGAGCTCCACGTACTTCAATGGGAGAATCCTGAAGGCATGAAGGAAGACACACATTGACAACCCCATTGCTTCTGATCCAACCCTGTCTTCATTAAAATGAGGAGTGTCACCAGGCCAGTGTGGCTCAGTGGTTGAGCATCGACCGATGAACCAGGAGGTCACAGTTTGATTCCTGGTTGGGGCACGTGCCTGGTTTGTGGACTTGATCGCCAATGGGGAGGGGGCATGAAAGAGGCAGCCGATCAATGATTCTCTCTCATCATGGATGTTTCTATCTCTCTCTCCCTCTCCTTTCCTCTCTGAAATCAA